TCCGGCAATCTCCTACATCACTCAACCTGTGAGGTTTCCGTAAGCAATCCTCACTCCACGCATCCATGCGCCACGCGTCTTTGGTAGCGCATACTATGGGGGCTATATTTGGGGTGGCGTGTTTTACAGCGCTTTGCCAACAGCGCCAACCCACTGAAGTCTAGATTGCGGGGGGGGGGAACAAACACCGAGGGGGGGGCTTGTTTTGCAACGTCGTTGCCAGGTGACGAAAACCTAACCCCGATGGCAAACACCGGGGGGGGCAATGGGGGGAGGGGGGGCGGGGCGTACTCTCATGTTTTGCATATCCTAGTGGTTGACCATTGATGACAACGCGTCCTCGAGGAGACGGGGTATCGTTCCCACAGGACCAAAGACCGATGGCCAATCTTCCCTCCTCTTACCAAAAAAGGTGTCTCAAAAATATTTTCCCTAGCCTGTCAATGCTATCGATATCACTTCCCGCCTCTTCAACCCACCACGTTCTTTGCCCCAGTAGAGTACAGCTACCGTCTTTCTCTCCTAGCTGGCATTCCATGCCTCAAACATCTCCCTGTTTCCTCTTTCCGCTTTTCCCGAGGCCCAGCAAGGTAAAATATCGTCCCCTTGTACAACAGACATTCCGCAACTACATGAACCCGGTGTTCGCACTCGGAGCCGCTTTCACATTCCACCTTTCTTGGTTGATGCGGAGGTGGACGGGGGGTGCGTGGGTGCTTAGCTTTGTTGCACAAGGCATACCCCTCGTCGCGTGTCATTGGGGTGCCTGCCACGCTGCGTGCCATGCACGAGAGCCATGTCTTTCCCCCTTGAAATATTGAAAGAGCTCGGCCAGCTGTCAAAGTTGAAAGGAGGTGTAATTCTCGATCGACACTTGGAGGCCATCAAAGAAAATATCATTGCTGGCAACTGCCCACAAAGTCAGACTGGGAGGCGATCGAGCCGATGCGGGGGCGACGATAGCTTTCCGACACCTCTTCCTTCATCGCACCCATCGGTTTTCGAGTCAAGCGTCTATACCCGCTGCTCTTCACAATTCTTTCCTGAATGTGGAGTACTTGGAATACTGAGCATGGGCTGATTTGGTGAGCTGATCACTCGGCCGTCTCAGGAGCAAACTTTTTTGCGACAACAGTGTGAATTTCGAGCTACGTGTAGACCAAAGTTGGACAAGCACAGTCGAGATGCAGGTGCGATGGAAGGGCCGTGGGCTTTGCTTGAGAGGGGCGCGTCATAGAGCAGGGATGAGGTCCGGCATTCGAAGAACAGTGTGAAGGTCGCAATGAAGCTACGACGGTCGTTAGAAGATAGGGCGGGGTGGACAATGACGCCGCGAGCGACTCGTAAGAGGTTCAAGGTGTGTGTTTGCTCAGATGCGACATTATTTCAGGCGATACAGCGTCTGTATTTAACTCGATTCCAGAGGTAGGTCTCTGTTGAGCGACGTTCAAATATCAAATGCATACTTACTTTGCTTTATGCATATGAACACGCTGCTCTCACGTGTCAGGCTGAATCCACGCAGGAAAACAAAAAAAAACTCTGAATGGAGTCCTCGGCGCACAGCAGAAACATGAACAAGAACCCCGTGTTTCATACGGATATGCCTGCTCGAAATAAGAACTTTGAAAATAAGAGGTGCTCAATTTGAGGCAGCTAATAAGCATAGAGCCTTGGCCAATATAAGCGGTTCTTGAGTGTGGGCGCCATCTGTAGTTTGGAACATCAGGAAGCGCACACGTCGATCCATTCTGTCGCAGATGCATCATTCTGTCATTTGTGTATTTCTGCGGAGGCTAGGGTGTATCACTACCTGCAGCAGCTACTGTAGAACACTCGAGGCATATGCCTGAACGGCACCCACTCGCATGTATGTACGTGCTGTAGTTGGCCTGTGACCACGGAAGGACTCCTAGTCATTAGACAGGGGAGGATTTCTAGTGTGAACACATCAACGAACACGATATCGACACGAATTGTTGAGTGATCCGCGTAAGAGTCAGTCAGAAATAACAAAATGCCAGGTGGCCACTCTCCGCTGCGAGAGATGAGAGCGATGACAATGAACCAGAAAAATCATGTCGCCCAAGGCTTCCACAAGAGTCGAAATCCACATTTTGCCACATTTTGTGGAGTTTTAACTCCGCGCCAGGACTGGCTGTGTTTCCCAGGACAAAACATCAAACCAAACCAATACGACCGTGCGGCAAGTACATGCCTGATATGTGTGCAAAGAGTAATGGGACATCCTTGCTCCAATAAAACATCTACTGCCTGAAATATCCACCCTTCTCTTACAACCTGGTTGTGACGAAACTTCGCATTTCGATCCCACACAACAGACTGAATGCGTACGGTGAAAAACGAACGCCCGTCTACCGGAATTACTTACACCACGCGAGGGAGGCTACTGTCAATACCTACACAATTCATTCCCATCTATTTTTCCATGATGTGAAATCTCCACATAAAAATTACGTTAAATCTTCCAAGAATTGCAGAAGAAGTACAACGAGTCTAAGGCTAACCTTCGGAAAGATCTGAATAAAATCACAGAACACGACAGAGACACTGTTTGTGACGGACAACGCATCACCTGGTCCAGGAAGCGTCCACCACGAACAGTAAAAACCCGCTCCCGAGGAACGCCTCATCTCATAGGAAGCGCCCGGCACAATAAGAAAAAAAATTCGCATCCCTCCCACCCCAAACGTGGGTTTGCTAACTACGTTGTTCGTAAGGACGAACTACAGTCTCAAAAGACGGCGATAATACAAGCAGCTAAAATAACTAGTACACGTGACAAAAGCAATGGGAGCGCTGCCCGTGTAACGGTCGGGCAACTTCGTGACCATGCGGCAGTAGTGGTGGTGGTGGTAGTGGTAGTGGTAGTGCGGGGGGGGGGGGGGGGGGGGGGGGGGNGGGGGGGTGGGGGGGGGGGGGGGGGGGGGGGGGGGGGGGGGGGGGGGGGGGGGGGGGGGGGGGGGGAAGGGGGCAACATCACATAATAGTACAATTACAGCCTCCCGACGCCGCAGAGACTTTCCGAGCTGTGTCCTCCATACGGGAAAGCTGGAAGCGAAGTGGCACCAACAAGGAAGGGGAGGGGAGGAGAAAATATCAATTGACAACAGCGTCGTTGGCATGCGCATCAAGATACCGGGTGAGCGCAAGTGGCCATCTAAATTGATACATGAATGTGCTAGGGTGGAGCACGGAACATCAAACCTAACATGTTAAAGCGGGGGCCCCGGTTTAGCGACCCCTAGTGTCACGACGAAATGTGGCCGCTACTCAGGGCAGGTCGCTAAACCGAACTACCAACCATATAGCAGTTATACTACCGGGGTGTGTCGGTGCGACGTGATTTTGAGGTCGCTAAACAGGGCGTGTCGCTAAACAGGGGATCGCTACACCGAGACCCAACTGTACCAAGATTCTGCGGTGGCTCACCCGATCCATGATTCCACGAGTTTCCACCTCCTTCTCGTCGAGTCTTTCCCGTAGATTTTTCCCTGCTTTCCGCAAGGTGTCCAACTCTCCCTCTTTGTCCTGCATCCGGTCTCGAATATCCCGCAACTCCTTGTCCTGCACACGGAAAAGGCGATTCCACGCAACAGCACTTCAAGAGAACGCAGTCATGAACCGTCATCCTCGGCGCGTACATCAAATTTCAAATAATGCTTCGGTAAGTAAGGGGTGCATCACAAGTCCACACGTGTTGGCATTTAACCCCGCAGGAAAAGTGCACACGTGTCGCAACTGAAAAGCTCACATAATATGATCTTCGCTTGTCTCACTGACCTTCATCGCCACTGCCTGCCTCAACTCCCCAAGCTCGTCCTTACTCGCAAACTGGTCAGCGGCAACGCCGTTTCCCGACCAGTCAGCACCAGAGGCCGCCGTGGTTCCACCAAGGTTTGGAGCCAGCGGTGGCTCATTGCCTAGCGTGCGGTCCAGCGCCCCATCAGGGTTCGCTTGCTTCGCCTCAAAGTCTTTCGCGATCGTCGTGCGTTTCATCTGCAGCAGACAAACAGGCGCAGTGCCACAGCAATCACGGAAGAGTGGACGATTATCGGAACACCTCAAGCGCACACAGGAATTACGAAGCACGCGCATTAACTCCGGATTGTCGACGGCTGCCACTATCAACGGCGTGTGACTTGATCGAACAACCTCAAAACGATAGCATAAATAGGCTTGCGTAATGCACAGCACTCGTTGCCAGGACTTCCGCAGGTACTGGAAGTCAAAACGTACGAGACATAACGTCAGCGTAACGTGAAGTATACATCACCCGGGCCACCCAAAACAGGTCACATGGGAAACGCCGTGCACCTTTCTCAAATCCTTTTCCGTCTCGTCTACTCTCTTGAGCACATTGAGCAGAATGTCCTCGTTCGTTTTCTGGTCGACGTTGAGGTTCTCCACGCGTTCCTCGAGGTCGTCCAGGTCAGCGATGATCTGCTCCAACGCCATCTCGTACGCGACTAGAGCATCGCAGCGACGACAGACAACAACCAGAACAAATGCAATGCTTGTGGTCGACTGGTGTTCAAGATAAAACTAAACGTGCGCACCATGCAAACTAAACTGCTCATACCATCGCGTTCAGCAACGAACATCTGCTGCATCTCTTGCGTCACCACGAACAGGGTTAATTCTAACTCTCGCCCTACGAACGATCCATACTTTGAAAACAACAACAAGCAACAATGGAGTGGCCGCGGATTGAACCATACCGTGGACGAGCAAGGTAAGAGTTGGGTAAAAGCAGACGAAACACTACCAATGCAGCACCGAAAAGTCACCAACCTTCTTCGTTGCTAACTTCCTCCATGTCATCACGTTCGCTTCCTTTCGTTGAAGACTCCCCTGTCACGGAACCCTGAGGTGAGCGCTTGACCCGGCTAGCAGGAGCTGGTGCAGCTGGCACGGCAGTCATCCCGTAATTGCTTCCACGGCGCTTGTTGCTAGGAGAGGCGTCGTTCCCCGGCTTCCCATCGCCAATACTCACCATTCCGTCCGCCATCGTCAGGTTGATGGCTGCGCGAAAACAAACAAGGTCGTTCCCTGCAAGTCAGAGAGACCATTTTACATTTCGTGGTCCCCAAGCCGTATATACCGGCAAGGGGGCTAGAAACGGAAAAGAAGACATCACACATGACAGAATCCATAAGCATATCATCCTCGGGCGGACGTGGAGCTGCACCACTGTACAAACTCAACAAGTTAGCAGAGGGCATGAATCCGTGACACTCACTCGACTTCTTCCTCGCGCGGTCCCCTCCACCTGCCCCCTGTGCCCCGCTCGGTGCAGCTGCAGGCGAACTCCCCCTCGAGTTCTGTCCTCCTGCTCCGGACGAGCGTCGATCCGCTACGCCACCTTGTTCCGGCGGCTGCTTCGCATTGCCCCCCCCAACACCAAACAATAAAGAGCTTTTTCGTGCAGGAGCAGGTGCATCTGACTTCGCGACCGTCTTTGTTTGCTCCGGTGGAGCTCCATCCACGAGCCCGTTCGAATCGCCGCTTGGAGGGATCGCTTCCTGTCTGTCGGCCCTCGATGATTCCCCGTTTGTTGCTTTGGAGCCCCCACTTGTTGATACGGCAGCTTTGTCGACGACAGCGTCCGCGGCAGCCGTAGGCGTGGTATTGGTTGCTGCTTCACCGCTAGTGGACAACGTGCTAGAATGGCTCGCAACATTCTTTGCCACCGACATCGCCGCTCCCATCAGGGTGCCATCAGACTCGGGGTGGTACGATCCATCCAGTCCTGAGAGGAGGGGAACAAATGAGGAAAGCGAGCGCATCGACAAAGCTACACATTGCGCGGAACTGGAGGAGAGGGCGGGGAGGGGCAATGTTCCCTGCTCCTATCCTATGGCAAAAAAAAGACGACTCATCTTGTTTCGATTAGCAAGACAGCCACCGAGACAGAGATGTCCAAGCAGAACAGCAGCACATGATAGGGTAATACCCGGCCAATACCCAAAAACATTTCCAGTGTTGATAACAGCTCAATGCGCGCACGCCGACAACATTCTTACTAGAAAATGCACTGTCTTCAGTTAAGAGTGCCCGAGCGTTGCGACCACCAGCCGGCAAACTCAAGGCGTGTACCGGCTGACACGAGATTTCTCCATGAAACGTATCAATTGCTGTAGCTCCCACCTTGATCGTCGTCCTCGGGCATCTTGTTCTTGAGGAGCTTGATGATATCCTCGCTTTTCCCCCTGTTTTTTTGTGAGGCGCTTTGCCCCACTAGGTGCAGGGGGAGCTTCCCCTTGTTGTCGATGACCATAACTTCCGCTCCCCACTCCAGCAGCAAGCGGACCTTCCCGGACAGCAAGGTACGCACCGTAATCAACGTACACTACATGTCAAAACACACACCGATCGAGGCACATGTACGTCAACGAATCCTTGACGACTTGTGTTGGAAAAAGGAAGTCTCCAGCTTATGCTGGACTGCTGTTATCTAAGGTATGGCAGCAGTCCATGTTGGCGCGTGCTCGCTAGAGACGAATAATAAAGCTGAGACATTTTGAGGGTCGACCCGACAAAACCAGGCGAGACGAAAGTTGAAGCCAGCCACATCTTCCAGGCCACTGCTTACGGAAGAGTAACGCGTACTTACCGAGTTGATGTGAGACTTGAGGCAGGCGTAGTGAAGCGGTGTTCGATTGATGTGGTCAGTGCATCCCACCCCGGCGTGCTTGAGGATGAGGAAGCGCGCCACCTCCACCTTATTGTAGTGGCATGCCTTTACGGCCGCAACGAGGTAAAGGTAGTCAGTCACGGCGGTGTTTCAAGGAATGCACAAGCGCGTACGAGGCAACAGCATTTTGATCCCGAGTGCTGGTCGAGAAAGCCACAGACCTGCCCACCTGAAGAAACTACACTAGACACCCTACACGAGAAACGTGCTTCAATTTGACAAAAGTTGAAGCCAGTGCCTTCAAGTCCCCAACGGTTTCGTTCTCGAAAAAACCTAAACATGTCCTTAGTGCACCGGGTGCTTGTTGAACGGGTTTTGTTTGCAAGCAGCCGGACAGTGTCAATGCTTGTATACGCACCAAGTGTAGAGGAGTCATGTTCTTGACGTTGCGGACATCGATGGTAGCTCCAGCTCCCACAAGCACCTTAGCGAGACCTACGAAACCCTTTTTCGCCGCATAGTGCAGGGGGGTACCATCCTGCTCATCGCTCTCATCCAGGGACACCTGCCATAGCAAGAAACCAAGCACGTGACACAGAATCAGTGGGCGGACGCGAAAACGGCACGTCCGCATGAGATAAACATATTCGCGAACACCCTTGACAAGTACTTGGAGATACTACGGAGAGGCTTCGGTGAGCGCCCACCTTGTGCTCCAAAAGCAACTTGACGATCTCGGTGTGCCCTCCCCACGTCGCCCAGTGCATGGCGCTTGCGTGCTGGTGGCTGAAAGTATCAGGCCTGTAAGGTGTGGCGTACACGAAAGGGGCGGAGGTAAAACTTGATCACGACGTCGCCCCTTAGGTCAGACGGTAGAACAGAACGCAACTTCAGCTCGTGGTGCTTACCTCCCCATGCTGCTAGCCAAGGTGTTGCAGAGACACGATCTGTATGGTGCAATGTACGCAAGGTGAACACTAAAACTTGGACAGCGGTTCCAGATACCCAAGAACTCTGATAGTTTCCAACTACTCCATAACTCGACGAACAGTACACAAGTGACGACGCTCTCAGAGCCATGACCCGTCACCTCTACAACAGCAGCCAATAGCCTATGTTTTGCAACCATCGCAAGATCACTCGACCTTGTTCCACTGTAGGTCGTTCGTTCACACTTAGTACCCTCACGCGTGCATGGTCGCAACCACACCCACTATTAGTGGCGAAAGCAAGAAAGACCGACGCCTCACTTGGCCCCCTCGTCAAGCAATCTCTTGACGATCTCCACGTGCCCCCCCCAGCAAGCCCACATGAGAGGGCTGCAATGCTCTCGATCCGGCTTGTTAACATCGCCCCCTTTGGCAATGAAATCTTGCACCTGATGAACAGCGCCCAAGGTGTGCAAAACGCCAAAAAAAAAGCAAACAAAAAACACAACAAGGAGCCACCTCTGGTTAGCGTTGATTGACGTCACTGACTGGACCATACGAATAGCAATGCCATCATAGGTACTTAAATGAAAACGAATGATCTGGCCGTGCATTCACCGTGGAAACTAGTTTCTCACGCGGCAGCTATTGCACCGCTCTTTGGAGGGTCCTGACAAGCCTTCCCACAATCAACGCCAACACAATGTAATCTTTGTCAAAAATATAGTTATGCCACTAAGAAAATGCTACGGCGCGCATAACACACCAGCAGCAATGGTTGATTGCTCGCTTATCTCATGTAAATCAACAGGAAATCTGTGATGGGCTTGGGGATCACGGGCACAGCAAGGGTTTGTCCAGGAAGATGTTGCTGTACTTTTCTTGACTTCGAGAGCTGTTCGGAAACGCTGCTACTGGTGAGCCATACTTCTAGACAGATTCTATACCACGACAACAGAATATATCACAATCAGTCGGCATGTCGATCGCCAACCACATCTCGTGTGGAGCTCTTCGACCGGCGAGCGCACTGTGTGTATTCAAGGCCCCATTGTTGATTGCGGAGGTGATGGAGGCTACGAGTACTGCTGTACAGATGCATGACGTGGGCTCCGCGCGGTGACCACTACCCATTGCTGTACTTCTGAATGTATCCGATACTGTACCGCCGCGCCGGTGGTGCCTACCCACAGCCTTTGAACGCCAAAAATCTACGAAAAGTCAGGTGTTGAAGGGAAGCCACCGGCCAGCTACGGTAAATACCCAATACGGTTTAGGAACCATGGCCAGACAGCCAAGAGGAAGGCCCCCGAAGCGAATGGTGTTTGGGGAACTCGTGGGGGCAACACGTGCCGGAGAAGAAGTACCTGGGGGAACAATTTGCAAGCGTTTGGAGTCACAGACAACAGACTCAACGGACGACAATCGAGAAACATTCGGACTTCATAGCGCCACCTGAGCTACCGCTAGCGAAGGGGGTGAGATGGGGGTGCCGTGGCACGTGGGGGTACCGCGGGTCGCAAAGAGTACGAGTTCATGGCCTCGTGGCACAAGGACGAAGAGGAGGCCAGTCTTAGACTTGACGGGACAGCGAAGACTTCAACACAACAATGATACGTCAAGGGCGGGGGGGATACATGCGGAAATATGCGTCGGAAGCTCATCATTATAAGTGTACATGTTGCACGGTACCGACGGGACTGACTGATGGATGTGGCTGGAATGTCCGCCATCCATCTTAGTGTCATGGTCGTATCCATTGCACCCTTTCATGGTAGTACATTGATAGTACATTGATAGTGCGCAGTTATTTGGGTGTTCTTAACTTCCTCAGACATGCTTTGCACTTTAATGACTTTCGATGTGTCTACTGCGGGAGTGAGTCTCGCTGGCGAGAACCTATTGCATAATACTGTAAAGACGTGGGGAACACCGGCGACTTGCTTACATATGGAATGGGCGTAATGTATCATCTGTGTCTTCATCTTGAGCCCCCCACACATGTGTAGGTGCAGGTGGGGAATGACATCGCCGGTGCAAAGCCGGCAGTGGATACAACCCCGGCCTAGTAGGAAGCACAAGGTTGGTGCGATACTGTGGATTGGTAATGTTAGTTTTTCTTGGGTGCGTCCCTTTGCCTGGCCTCGCTGACTTTCTGGGGGTCTGAGTTATTTCTGCTTTCAGCACTGTCGAGTGTGTGCTGTGCTGATTTTCCAATTCCTCTGTAATTCCATTTAATACCAGTATATATGTACCCTTAGGCATCCGAGGCAGTTGGGCCACTAAGGATTTTACAAGGTACGAGCAGAGATCGGAATGGCTGCCGAAGCGACGAAAAAGACAACAACAAACGGTCAAACCAATTCGCTTTGTTATCCTGAAAAGGAGCATTTGCCTCCTGAACACCTTTCGAAAGTACAGATAGCGCCCGCACTTAAGATCTTAGCAGTTAAGAAATTGAGACTCGCAAAAAATCAGAAGCTAAGAACTTGAGCATCATTTGTGCGCTCGGTTAAGAACCCCACACTAAAACCTATACAGCGGCCATTTGTAGCCCACGAGAGGATGATCATCAAAATAAGAACCCCAGCCTCGGCCGAAACTAGAGGTTCTTTAGTGCGGGCGCCATCTGTGTGGACGCGATTCGCCTGCAATCACCAGTGTGCAAGTAAATTGTTGTGTCAACTTGTAGAGTGCCCTAAATATGTGATGAAGCAAGCATGCACCGGACATGGTTCTGGGTCTCGAAAGGCAAGACGACAGGATCAATCCGTCCGAACGGTGTCTATGGCAGATTTCATCAGGCCTGTAGCGCTCCCGCAGCTGCCACTGGGACACCTCACATTTACCAATGGTTGCAATTATTTGCCTACTAGACACAGGGCTCATTGACGTGAAAAGGATCAAGACAAAACAAAAAACAGTGGTTGGACAATACCACACATCGGACAGAACATGAGTTGGTTCACTTATGTCCCAAAGATCACCTGTGGTGCAAACATTCCCCGATCATATACCGTAGGTGACATACGATACCACACCCGTGTATAATCTTTTTGGAGGTTCAATGATCATCACACGGTGTGGCATTTCGAGGGTGTGTGATAAATAACGTTACCATGTGATAAACTGTACTCATAGGACTCAGCAGTATAGGTTCTGCTGCGCCGGCCTCAGCAGTACGAGCGATGGCAGGCAGAGCGGGTGCTGCGGGAGTCTCAGGGGCTAAACAAAAAAATGACGTAACTGGGCGTGGCGCCGCCGCTGGGGTCTGACTCACTGCAGTCTGAGCCGCGATGGTTTCAGCAGTGTTTTGTGCTTCGTTCAGCTCCGTTGTGTTGTCCGCCGCCGTACAAGTAGCTCTAGCCCAGGGTTGCGTGCGCTTTGTGTGAGACCACGGCTTACCACACCGGTGTGACAGGGGGCTCCGTGGAAATATACTTGCGGCTCAACTAAAGGGGCGTGATATCTCTTGTGACCGTGCGATATATCGGTGCTTTCGTTTCCACGGTTTTCGGTGCGTTTTCGATAGGGTTGTGGTATTTTCTGTGAGCGTGGATCTTACGTCATCTGCGGCATGTCCCACAGATCACGTGCGGCAAACATGCCCCGATCACCTATAATCTCACAGAGCACCTCGGAGCAAAAACACAGATCACTCATGTCGCATAGATCACCAGGGAGCAAACACATTCAGGTCACTCATGTCCCACAGATCACCAGGGAGCGAACTCACTCAGATCACCTATGTCCCACCGATCACGAGGGGCACACCGCCCTATGGGTGGAGAATACCCCTCTGTCGGTGTTATCACGTGGCAACTCGTTTTTAACTCGCGTGTGTTTGTGATACGGAGATCCAAATGCAATAATGCAAGCACGCGTGTAAATCAGGAGTGGTGTCCTTCCACGGCTACTGACAGAGAACGACATGTGAGAACAACTTGAACAGCAGTCGTAACGAGAAAGGTGGGGGGTGCCTCGATAGAAGAGGGGAAAGAGAGGGGGGGCAGGTTGCCTCTTCTCTCCCTTCCTCTATCGACCTGGGTCTCAGTGGTGTTTCGAGCAGAGATAGGCTTTCGCGCGAAGGTGTGCGTCAAGCTGGTTGCTGCATGACGAAGGGGTAGTCTTTCTGTGCATTTATGTTTCCTAATGACAGAACGTGCAGTTTAGACCTTTTGAAGGACTTCCTGCGGGCTAAGGGCTCACGAGGTTGCAGGATTAACAACCCTGGCTCTGTCGTGGGTCTAAAGCCCCTTCTTAAAATACTTGACGAGCCAACCGCGGTTCCGGAAGCTACTAATACTCCGAGTGTAATATTCGCCCACATGTAGCTCAAGATAGAAGACCAGCAGTAATACATAGCTTTTGAGAAAGAAAACAAACGAAGAAACGATCCACCAGGCACAGTCCTTGAGGGGATACGTTGAAACCTTGACCTTACTGTAACAGCAGTGAAGAATCTCTTGATGCGGAGCGTACAGAGGCGGTTCGGCTAATACACGAGCAAGTAGCCACCGTATATGACACAAGATAACACACCCCCTGGACCGATTTTCAAAGCTCGATTACTCCACGACGAGAATGATGCATAAACGAAATGATACATTTTCGAAAAGCTCTCGACGAGACGGTTTCAACGCCACCGTGTTCGGCGCTGTGACTGTTCCTGCAGTTGAGAAATCGAGCTTCGAAAATCGGTCAAGGGGGTGTGTTATCTTGTGTCATATACGGTATGTACACCTTGTACATACAACTGGTTTTTGACGGACGCTAGAAATTTTCACCAGTCCTGGGGTACTTTTAACCAGTCTCAGTACTTCTCGAACCCTACTGCGTGCGGACCTTGCCACCCGAGAGCCAGGCGACCGCGTAGCATGGGTTCGGTTGAACAAAGGTGGTATGTCGTAACAAGCTTGGTTGTAGTCATCACCAGTGCAGGAGGAGCAGCGTGCATCGATGCGTGCATGTAAGTGACTTCGACAGACAACCTCAAAGGTTCAATTTAAACTTTCAACAGAGGAATTTTTGGCTCTGGTTTCACAGACGGCACAGAGTAGGAAGAGAGAAAAAACTTGGGGTGGGAACGCCCGGCTAATGTTCCCCAGTCGAAGCAGAGCGGCAACGATTCCTTTCAATGCCTTACGCTATCGTGACGGAGAAACGTAGGCATGATAGGGAACAAAGCAAAATAAGAAACACCATGTCGACCATAAGCCGCGCGGCTAGTTGTGTCTGTGCCGTTTGTGTTCGGGTGAAACAAAGGCCGCTCCCACATATGCATCGTTGGTGAATCATTGACTACCACGACTCTGCTGCCTACAACAAGGGCCAACTCCGGGCACCGACGTACCTTCTGCAGCTTGCCAGCTCTAGCCGCAGCGTGCACCCCTGTGACAATGTACGACGCCATCGTCTAGCTCTCGCCCGTACCCGAGAGCACACCAGGTCCCTGCTCCCCGCCCTCCCGCGCTGCCCTCACCCCCCCCGTTCGTGCTCGGGTTCCAAGAGCTGTTTCGGCTTTTCGATTAATCGCCACGCAACGCCGGCAACGGCTACAATCGAATTCGTGCAAGCGGAATACACCTGCCACTCCACGAATGGCCGCCCGCCCACGACCTTTCAGCCCTCAGGAGCACGCCGTACCGCCTCTCTTGCTTCCTCCTCTGTCGCAGACGGATGAGCGAGACTTTGATTCAATTGTCTTTTGGCCCCCGGCAATAAATGGGTTATGCCCAATCCAGTTGGGCAACATTTCGCGTCCCCCCGCGATGCTGCTTCCTTGCACCGCAGGGCAGAGTGTTCGTCGTGTATATGCAACGTGCTACCACCCCGTCGCGGCTCGGTTCCACCATACTGCCCTGCCGGTGATGAGGCGCAGGTTTGACACTGCAGTGCTACTAGTAGTGGCATTCAGTTTGGTCTGGACTGGAGGCCGAGCATGGACAGCAGGTAGCCCAGGTGCAGGCTGGAAGCCCCGATCTGCTGCAACTGGTGTACTTCGAGGAGCTGCGTATGGCGGTGGGTACAAAAGAAAAGTACTACCAGACAGGGTGATGTCAGTGTCGTGTGTTCCGTGTTGGAGAGAGCGTGGTACATCACCATCGGTGGGTGGGGAGAGTAATGCAGGCGTGACATATCAATGGCGTGCTGCTTGAACACATACAAGTATGCGGCGGCTCCCCAAAATGTAGTCAGCACAGCAGGTGCACGCTGTAACGACACTTCGCTCTCGATGACTACTGTGTCCCGCCGCCCCACCACGATATCTACATCACGTCAACTAGGATTAAGAGACTCGAATAATTTCAACTGACAGGTGGCAGAACTGCGTCCGTGTCTGACAGCAAGTACGTATTTTGTGTATCGCAGGGCTCGACCGAGGTATCCGCAGTTGGTCCCGCCATGCACTGCCCCGACCTCGACAACGAGGTGCAGTCAAACGAAGTTCGGCCACGACGCTTGCTATGCTCCGACGAGGGTCCGCTCCTGCACAGTTGTGGTCGGTGAGAACTCAACGAAACGATTGTCGAATTGTTTTTTATGGTCGAACTGTTTGCTATACAGCAGTTGTTACACAGCTCACGATATGGTGAATACCACGACTCATGGACGTGGATAAGCAACAAGCATAAGCAACAAGCAGACATGCGCACACAGACTGCAACAGCGACAGGGGTATCGCGCCATATTCATCGTGATGCATATCTGACCCATGTCACCAGCTCTCGGTTCACGATAGCTGACTGAACTCGGATGTATGTGATGTTGTGTTATCTCTAGACCCCCCTCTTGTCTTTGTCGTGACGAGTCCCATCAGATCGCTGGACTCAAAGCAGCCGGAGCGAGATTCTGGGGGCCGCTGACGAATGTCGTCACACCCCAGAAGCTTTTCCTCTTCCTGCTGTTTCAGGTGAGACCTCTGACACCTGCATGTATTGATGCTCTATCTCAATGATTCCTTTGCTAAATAGTGATATTTGCTTTGCACCCACGACACCCCGAACGTTTCTCACGAAAAATAACACGTCTCATGAAACAGAACATACAGCAGTCGACCCCGCTTTAAGGAAACTTGTTTTGCACAGCACCAGGGGGCCCGGCCGATTTTACAACGATTGGGTACCGCCATTTTTACGCCGCGTACCGCCCTTTTTGTGTCCTACGGGCCTGCGGGCCGCTCTTTGCACGAACCACGCACCACAACTGTAGTGAGTACAGAAGTAGCGACGCACAGACAGCAGAAGTAGCGAGCGGTCTGCTGCTGCAGCTGTAACTGGGTGTTGGTATGGATAGATTCCTACCATCTGCCGGCGGTCCTATCTGATGCCGCCAAAAAAAAAAAGTCGTGCGTGACCTCGTCCCTCACCGAGGGCCATGTTATCTCTCGCTTGGAGGACGTTCGATCCTACAGATAGCGCCCGCAGTTAAGAAGCGTCAGAATCGGATCGAGCCGCAATCCCTTCTTTTGGGTCGAAGTACCGGCCCAAGTCGTCCATTTTCGTAAATGTAATATCTTCTTCCTTTGGACTGTCGCATCCTCCCGATTCTCTTATTCCTTAGACNGCGTCAGAATCGGATCGAGCCGCAATCCCTTCTTTTGGGTCGAAGTACCGGCCCAAGTCGTCCATTTTCGTAAATGTAATATCTTCTTCCTTTGGACTGTCGCATCCTCCCGATTCTCTTATTCCTTAGACTACAACAAGTACTTCGTTTTTTCTTTTTTCTGTTTTGTGATCTCTGAGGACAACCCACATCATCAAGCCCTCAAGAGAGGTGCCATCAAACCCGTACAACATCGGAGAGCATATGGTTGTCCGCGATGTGTGGCAGCACTAGGTACAGTACAGCACTCACAGCAGGGGCGCGGGGGGGGGCGGGGGGGACTCTGCCCCTTGCAAAAAAAATGCACTTCTGTTCAGCTTTGGAGGGGGGTGGGAGCACCGGAGATTTCTGATGTCATGGGGGTATCGCACCATGACGTTGCTTATTGGGGCGTTTCTTACGTTGTGGCCGTGATTGAGCTATGTTTCTGAGCCCTTTTTGCTTATTTTTCGTACAAAGTTGAGCCTTTTTTGTTTACAGAAATTTCTTAACTGCGGGCGCTATCTGTATTTGTAAGCGAAGGGAAGAGGTGGCGAGTACCGTAAGACGCAGTATCTTCTTTCGAAGACCGTTCATTCGTTTACTCATGAATCTCAACAGAGCCGTAGAGCCAAGCCGCGGGGGGAGGTTCAGGGAACTCTTCGCGATATATGTGTGGAAGAAAAAGCCATCCAGGTAGCTTTTGGTCTCCGCCGGGACAGTTATATGTGCTGGTGTTCCTCGGTGCGACGCTGCAATACGCTCGTTCTTTTTTTGTTTCGCAAGAATGAGATTAATATATGTCTACTTGTACTTTCCTCCTCCTTCCGCTGCCGGCTATGCAGTATATTAGTTGGCCAAGTACAAACTGTTTTCAACACGTCCCCGACTGCTGTAAATCTCATTTTAAGTATTGTAAATATGTTCGACGTCAAAAAACGGTTGCCAGTCGTCTCGGCGATGCTTACTTTTCGTACCACCCCCTTCCTTAGCAAAAGATGCGTACTTTGAGGTATAGCATGCCTCCATTGGCCCCGGGGATGGTGAGCTATCGTCCCCTGAATTTCAGGACGCAACCCCGCTTAACGACGCTTTTTTTCGGGACGAAACATGTGCGTCCTTCAGACAGGGTCGGCTGTATGCCTTCGACTGAGGCGTTTTCTCGAACGAGCAGTATTTCTGTTGTTGCATGCATGATTATTCCTGAAAAAAGAACACCGTGCGTTTCGCAAACGCAGGGCCCCAACGTAGGATGCAAACGGCGATCGCATGTGCCCTTGTACTAAATACCTCGGAGTAGTACCCTCGCGCGTCCCTCATGTTCTCTCATATGATCCCTTGGTTCCCCGCTTTGCCTCCCTTTTCGCAGATTGTATACAGAAGATTGCTACGAGTACTGTACAGACTGCAGGTGCAGGTGTGGCGACTCGTACGAAAACACGACCCCCAACCTTACGAGCAATCTGTTCTGGGCTTTGTGGAGCCCAGACTGAGAATGCTCAGCAGGGTGAGCCGTTTGTTGCTTTGGTTTATCTCGCGTGTGGGTGCGCGCCTGGTTTCAGGCTTTCGTGTCTATCCAACTCCGCGTTACTTTTGTTGGCGTGGATTAGAACAGCACTGAGAGTAAGGCTAGATTCAACATGTGCCTGTGTGATGTACCTCGTATTTTTTTGTACCTATTTAGAGCACAACTATACGTTTGACCTGTATGTATTCGTTTCACTGCAATGTGGTGCAAGTATGGAAGAGGGAGGGTCGTCCAAATAGTTGTGTGTCCTTTAGCTGGCAGCACGCGTGGGGACTTCCGCTGCCGCTCTTTAGCTCCCTCTCGGCGTGTTCCATGCGGCGTTCTCTTAGAGTGCCTTTTCATGGTCCAGCGGAACTGCTTGTGGTACATGCCACCTCCACTCTGCAAGCCGTTATGCCTCCACTGCTTCACGCCCCACATACACAACGGTCAGACTTTGGTGGTGGCATACGCGTTGAAGAGCGGCGTCAGGGTGCTGATTGCGAGCGGATGGAACGCCAACCCCCAGCTGGCAAAGGTGGGCACGGACATCGTAGATGAGACTTTAAACGGCAGTCTATAGACTCTTGACTGCCTGTGTCTCGTCGTTCCTTCCGATCTGCGTCTATATATGTATCTGCCTGGCTTCATGAGCATGACCTCGTGTGCGTACCTTCTTGGCGAAGCTTAGGATGCTCTATTTTTCCAAGCTTTCAAGCTGCTGCGACAACCCATTTCAGCCAATCTACTGCATGCACGAAACATCGTTTCTTGTCCCAAGAGAAGTTCGACTTGCAGCTCGGACTGGGCATGCTGGAGCAGTTCAGTTACAGTTGAGCATGCGCCCTTGTGACGCTTGTGCGTGATACCGCAAGGTTAGTGCAACCCGTGCCATTTGTGTCACTTTTTTCTAGTACAAAGTACCAGTAGCATCTGAGCTGTGCACCGCAATCGACCAAGGTGTACCCTCTCTGCAGCCGCCCGAAATTCGGGTAGTCGAAATCGACAGAGCTTAAGATCGTGAGAGCCGCGTGACTGTTGCTGTTTCCCGGCCATACCTTTTCCGACAGGTTCTATCCGATGTGGTGTACTGCTGGTATGCAGGCTATTTTGTGGACGAGGCGAAGCGTTTCTTTCTCCCTGTCTGGTACGTGTGAATGAGGCTTGATGTGTGTCACGGACTCTTCAAGATTGGGGCACTGTGCACCATTTTATTGTGACATGTGATTGCCTGTCCAACAACGCGGGTGCAGATTGCTACCGGGCTCGTGTTTAATATCCCTCTGTTTCAATGGTAGGGCTGCGGCACTCTAGGAGATTGCGCAGAAGCAGATTCAACATTTTTCCTTGTTTTTGCCCGACCATGACCACCGTCCGTGGGCATCCCACACATCATGGCACCTATGAAACAGCGCTGTCTCGACTACCCAACAATCGGCACGATCTGAACTGGCTGCCCTATGTTGCGTCCACTGTAACTCCACATGACAGGATACCTTCACTAAAGGCTGACAAGCGAAAAGGCTTCATCTACAACCGGTCCTTGTCGGTGCTCACATGGTCTATTTGTCTTCTCACCGTATCGGAGGTCATCTCGGCGTATCTCCGAATACCAATAACCTCCACGCTGGCTTTCGGGGGTATCGGTGGTCTCGCCATTGGTTTGGCCGGGAAGGTGAGGCGGTGTCATGCCTTATGTGTAGCGACTGAGGCATGCCTTTGTGCATGGTCGCATCCGCCGTTTCCTAGTGGTTGTTGTATTTGATGAATGCTGGGTTAGATTGATTCTGTGGCGACCCCCGGCATAGTAGGAGGCCTTGTTCGTTGCTTGTGTTGGTATTCACGGCCCCCGGTCGCCTCCTCTCCGCTCGTCTCTTGCTGTTGTCTGTTCGGTGGCGAAAAAGGATGTTCTCTCCAACTTTTTCGGGGGACTGATGCTCCTCCTCGCCGAGCCTTTCATTCCAGGAGATATGGTGACGTTCCAGAGAGGCGGAGTAAGGTGAGTTGACGGAGTTAAGTAGTTCTTCGTTTGTATGATTGTCATCGATGTACATAGCCTTTTTTTACCGAGGAAGTGGAGCTGCCCGTCCTGCCATTCAAGAGTTGACATTCTCTCTGGCATGTATCTACACTAGGAATTTTTGGTTCCTCTGTTTTGGCTTGACCAACGCTGACGTTGCGACTCATGAACACTACACAACAGAGGATACGCAAGCAGGTTGCCTGTACAAAGAAGGGGATGCATTGGTCGCCTACAATTCCACATCCATGCTCCTACCTTGTGCATTCCGTCTTGTGGCGGCAGATGCGAAGGGCGTGTAGAGCGTGTGGGCTGGTACCAAACAAGGTTACGTGGGAGGGATACTCGTCCTACGTACGTGCCTAACGGGATGTTTTCCGACACAATGGTGAGCTCCAGGGAGATTTGAGGTATGTTTTTTGCCGTTGGTGTCTCGCCCGCGGCGTACGTTCTTGATGTGCTCCGCACTGATCTGTCACCATTGTGGTTCAGCTGAAATGGAAGCCCCAGTTCCTTAGCTGAGTGGAAGTTCTCCGATTCTCCTTTGTAGGACAGTTGTGGACAAATTCGGTATACGAATATCTACGGGATGCACATTTGGCAGGTTTGATCGCTTGCGGATCGGTTTCTTGCAGTGCTCCGGTTGGGGTCATGCTAGACACCGACAGGGCTTGTTCTCCATCTGCGATGCTGTGGAATGTGCTCCGTTTGTGGAGCGGAGGATGCCCGCAATTTGGACACTCACACACGTTTCCGCGCGCGTTTACCCACACGTCCAGTCCTCGTTGCTTGTTGGTCTTCTCAATATTCACCACTGCAACAGGTGACCAACATGGATAGAATAACTCATCGAAAGTTCGAATCCAGTTTCCAACTCCGGTGAGCCAAGCAACTTCACAGTATCAGCAGCGGTAGTACGCAGCGGTTTGGACACTCGTTTGTTGTGCGTGTCCTCTCATCTCGTTGTAGGTCTTGAGCGTCTCCCAGCTGACCGTTCTCCCTTGTGCAAGTCTAGCGAGGGAACCTAATCTAAAATCTGATGTTCCCCTTGTGCGCTTCTCTGGACAGGTACGCGGATGCGCCTAAGGTGGCAGAGATTCTGCAGGGGATCAAAGCTGCCCTCAAGGATGTCCCAAACATTGATTTACTCAGTCCGTTCCGCGTCCATTTGGTCGACTTTGCGGAAAGTGGCCTGAAGATCAACGTAGTTTGCTACTTTGCCACGAAGTCGTTTGACGAGTTCTTGTACTTGCAACAAGTAGCGCTCCTCGAGGTAACTCGCGTAGTTCAAGGCGCGAATGCTACCATGACGAGCGTCTTGTATGTCGACATGAACAACCCTGCCCCGATTGGGAAAGTGTCTTTAGCAGGAATGATCAACTCTGCCCAAAACAAGGACGTGGCTCAGTCGGGATTGCCCAAGGCGGTGGCCGCACCAAAGGATTTTAATCAAAAAGGCGCCGAGGGCGCAGCAAAAGAGGAAGACGACCCGCGGCCAATAAACGGTACTGGTGTTAGCGGCGGTAGCAGTGTACAAAAAAGTAGAAGTGTAAAGAAGCCCCGGGGTGGTACTGTATAAATTGGTCTTGGTCTGAGTCTTGTTGAGAAAAAAAATGTCGAAAAATGTTGGTTGCTACAACCGTTAAGAACCTTCTTACGCTGAGGGAAAAGGCCTCCCACATCTAGCACGCCAGTAGCGCGAGAGTCTCAGGCAGTCAATCAGTGCCGTCCCGAACAAAAGTTATGGCGTGCATGTTTTTCAACGCGTGTGACTCGGTGTCAACCGCGACGGCCACCCGAACCCACGTCTCTTGCAACACCCTGTTCATCGCTTCTCGGTCGGCGGAGACGAGTCACGCGCGTGGGATACAGCCTCGACTCCCTTAGCCTGCCCTTCCCCCGCTTCCTGAGCTCCTTCATTGTGAGGTTCTTCCGTTTCCATTGCTTGACTGCTGTCTGGTGCTTTCCCGTCAGGTGCCGGTCGTTTCCGGTCCGGCACCTGTCGCTCGCCGCCTTGCGCCGCCTTCGGGGGTGTGTCCTCTCCAGGTCCTTCTGAGACCGCTTGGGGCATCGGCTCGCCTCCATGAGCGGGGGTCAGGTCTTCACCAAGCCCGCCGAGAGTTTGCTCTTGAGACATAGGTTCCTCGGTGCCTTCTTCAACGGATCCGTCCAGCGTACCGATATTTTCCTCTTGCGACATCGATATCGGCTCAACGGCCGCATCTCCGTCTTCCGAAGTAGGCCCAGCAGGCGGTTTGGTGCACTCGGGTTCTTCGGGCTTCTGTTTCTCTTCCAACGTCGGGGCGGCAGCTCTGCCTGCCGAAGGAGAGCCTTCGCCAGAGGCAGCGTTTGGCGCACCCTCATCCGCCGTCTTGAGCTCTGGCGTGGAGGACGCTTTGGGAGCGTTGGGGTCATCCAGCGAGCCGCCAGAATCCTCCTTGACAACTGCAAGCTTCTCAGAGGCTTTCTTCATGAACGGGTTGTATGTGTCCTGCAAAGCATGTCGCGTTACGGCGCACGACGGCGTGTGAATCGCCCAAGCGTCAAGCACATACAGTAGCACCAAACCTGTCGGTAACTTCAACCACTGATAGAAGTTTGCGGGGAGTCTCCACACAACGTTACCCTAAGCCGATGGTCAGGAATACAACAAGCCCACGTTTGGGTGTGACCACCGGCCGTCGCAGGAAGCGTTACCTCACCAAATCCAATAGCTTCCAAGCGATACAGCTAGGCACAGAGTCTAGTGCTGGAACTGCATCGGGAAACCGTTTTACAGAGCAGGGCTACAACGAGAGCAATCGCAGCCCTCACGCAGACAAGCACCCCGGCTGGCATCGGAGGTTCTAGGATATAGTAGGCGTGCCTGCTGGTAGACTTCAGCCTCACCTTGCCGAAGAGTACGAACTCGATGAGGTCGATACCTTCGCTGAATTCCAGCATAGTGTCAATGGCGATCTGCCGGTAAATACAAGCACGTCAGGACGCGAGGTGCCCACTTTCACCAAGCCTCAGGCGGAAAACTGTCAGTAGACGGCCATCATAAACCATTTCATTCGATCTGCATCAGGTTCACGCACCCAGGCCACTCGAGTTTCTACATGCAACACTCAAGATAAAACCCGATCGGTTCCAAAGAAAACGTTCTGCGTGCTAAGCCTGTATTCGAAAAGTCTCTCTCCGAACCAATCCCTGAGCGGTTTCTTCACGAGTGTTGAAGTACCGTAATAGTCGGAGAGTACCGTAATAGTCGGAGAGATGGCACCGGGTGCGATCATTTTTTAAATGTTTTCCCTCGGGTTTTTATCGAACCCCGGTGCCATCTCTCCGACCCCGGTGCGGAAATGCAACTTAATCGGTTCGTTTAGTTGGTTTCAAGGCACCCCGGTGCGATCTCTCCGACCGGTGCCATCCCCAATGAAATGCACACGTGTTGTATGCAGGCACCCCAGTTCCATCTCCCCGACCGGTACGATAGTATTGACACCAGTGTAGGCATACCTACGCACACGGCCTTATTCACACGCTAGTTGACAATGCTATTTATCCGTATAGAACCACACGGACGTGTAGGTACCGTTGCTGCTGGTTGGAAGCACACCGGCAACGGTAACGTAGGGTGGTACGTAGCAGCTTCCCATGCACAGCGAGTGGGCTTGTGTTTGAAGGCGAGTTTGGCTATGGCGTGACAAGGACAACAAACGACGTGGTGTCCATCTGAGGCACCGGTACGTACGGTATCAGGCTGTCTCCCGCTTTCGTTTCGGTATTCCTCGACGGATACCGGTACGTACGCAGCAGTACAATAGTTTCGTGTTGTGTAAGGTGGGTAGGGTACGGCTTGTTCGTTGTGTGTTTGGTTCAGTGTACGGTTGGCAACTGGCATCCCGCGTGAATCGCGACCATGCATACGTACATACAGGACAGGCGTGGCGTTCCGCTGACACCGTCCCCACGTGCAAAAGGTATGCACATGTACCTCATTCCGGCAGCTGAAAGGACTTCAATCTTGGATGTGGGGTTAGGTGAGATCACACCGCGGGTGTGATCTCACCGACGCCGGTGCGAAAAATCGAATTAAATCATGCCGTTTTTGTACTTTTTTGCGCACCCCGGTGCCATCTCCCCGACCGGTGCCATCTCTCCCACCGGTGCCATTTCTCCGACTCTTACGGTAGCCATCTGTGAACACAGTATCACTACGAAACCCGAACAACATTAACATCCATTCCAGGCGGAACGTTCCGACTACTGGCGCCATCTAGAGACGGCAAAAATCATCTCCGACTGCACCATGAAGAGGGAAAGAAGACAGCAAGTACTCATACTTGTAGCCGGGCAAGTGCATATAAAATGATTGTGCGAGATTATCACCCAGCGCACCAACGCACTGCGGTGAGACACCTCAGCCAAAGCTCATTCTCGAGACAGCACCATGATGCGTCACGCGGCTTACCTCAGCAGCCTCGCCTGCTGGGTACCCGTAGACGCCGCAGGATATAGCTGGGAACGCGACGCTTTTCACTCCGTTCTCCTTGCACAGCAGCAACGAATTCTGGCGACCAAGCATAGGGCAGGGGACACAGTGGCCAACATCAAGCTTCGGAAATTTGCTAATTGATGGAGACCTAGTCCTCGGGGTATGAGAGAGCCGGTTGAGCCAAGGCGTGCAACTCAGCACGTCCTGGGATAATATGGACACTTTCTTGAGCATCTTACGAACAGATGGCTCGGACTCGTTGGTACTCCGCTGCCCCACCTAATCATGTTCTTAGTGTCTTCGCGCATCAAGTACAGACCCGCATCTGATTCCTCAAACGTTCAAAGGGGGGAAAGGGGTTCCGTAGCCAAGCTGCTGCAACCGACTTACTCACCTTGATGGCAGATCGAAGGAGGGGCGCTGACACCTCTTTGGTTTCGTAGACAGGACCAACAGTATGGATCTGTACTCAAGAGAGGAGGTAGGAAACGAAAAGAGACGGGCGATAAAAACGATATGGTACCTAAGAGGGACGACTGCCGAATACGACTGCCCCCTGGGATGCGACATGAATGGGACAAAGAACCAACAGGATTTACGACAAAACAGAGACCACCAGGGCTATTGACGCACGTCCGCACCGCCGTTTCGCTGGATGAACACAGAAGATGACGGATGCTGGCACTCGGTAGATAACTCTTGTATACGACATCATATCCAGGATCTCTGCTTCAAACAAATCGTATCGTACCACGAATTTGGCGGGTAGGCGAAATCCGGGAGTTATGCGGGCTTCGCCCGTCGGGCACCTTCGCAAAGAACAACAACAGCGGCGAGGGAAACAGCTTGAAAGGCCAAGACGGATGCATTTAAATGTCATACATACGCCTGTTGGTGATGACGTTGCCACAAGACTGATCGCTTGGCAA